AAAAGATTATTTTTTTTTTAAATCCAAACTATTGTGACACCAGATCTAATTAGTGGCACTTGTCGGCATATCCACTGTTAGCGTAACACACCCGCTTTAAGGACACTGACTGCTATTCAATCTATAACAGTAAAAAAGTTTTTTGTTTTTAAATCCAAACTATTGTGACACCAGATCTAATTAGTGGCACTTGTCAGCGTATCCACTGTTAGCGTAACACACCCGCTTTAAGGACACTGACTGCTATTCAATCTATAACAGTAAAAAAAGTTTTTTGTTTTTAAATCCAAGCTATTGTGACACCAGATGTAATTGGTGGCACTGACTGGGGAAATGGGCACAGTATGCACTGTGAGCCTGACACAGAAGCTGGCAGCAGTGGCAGACAACTGACTGCTATTCAATCTATAACAGTGAAAAAAGTTTTTTGTTTTTAAATCCAAGCTATTGTGACACCAGATGTAATTGGTGGCACTGACTGGGGAAATGGGCACAGTATGCACTGTGAGCCTGACACAGAAGCTGGCAGCAGTGGCAGACAACTGACTGCTATTCAATCTATAACAGTGAAAAAAGTTTTTTGTTTTTAAATCCAAGCTATTGTGACACCAGATGTAATTGGTGGCACTGACTGGGGAAATGGGCACAGTATGCACAGTGAGCCTGACACAGAAGCTGGCAGCAGTGGCAGACAACTGACTGCTATTCAATCTATAACAGTGAAAAAAGTTTTTTGTTTTTAAATCCAAGCTATTGTGACACCAGATGTAATTGGTGGCACTGACTGGGGAAATGGGCACTGTGAGCCTGACACAGAAGCTGGCAGCAGTGGCAGACAACTAAGTGCATTTACATTAGATAGAAAAAAAAAATCCAAAAAAAGCATACCCTTATCCCTAACCTAGCTATGCTTTTCCCTATCTTATGAACAGCAGCTACACTTTCCTCCTCTTACTAAGCATGCAGCTTGAGAATGAATCTAAAATGGATGCCTGTCCAGTAGGTGGGAGGGTCTGCTAGGGAGGCTGTGCTGCTAATTGGCTGGAATGTGTCTGCTGACTGTGAGGTACAGGGTCAAAGTTTACTCAATGATGACGAATAGGGGGCGGGTCGAACCGCGCATATGTTCGCCCGCCGTGGCGAACGCGAACATGCTATGTTCGCCAGGAACCGTTCGCCGGCGAACCGTTCGGTACATCACTAAACATGACTAATATGTATGTGCTTGTATGGACCAGTAAGTAAGTGTCAGTGTGAGTGTCAGGGTTTTAATGTTAGATGTGGTTAGAGTGAAGGGGCTTATGGCTAGAGTGGGGCATAACATCAGAGTGAGATTACATAGGTTGTTTAAGTCAGTAAGATTAACATCTGGAGAGTGGTACAAATTGTAGTATAAAGGCTGTTTAGAATTATTGAGCTTAGTGCTAGAGTGGAGTTAAATTTAGCATTTGTTATAGGGGGTGTTTTAGGATTATTGATTTATGGGTTAGAGTTAGGGTCATTTAATGTTGGGGCACATGAAATGTTTAGTTTGTAAGAGGAAATAAACATGAAAATAAGGTAAAGGGTTTATTTTCATATTTAAGCTTTGAGTGTTGGAGTTTGAACGGTTATTTGCAATTACTCACTCTCCTATGTCTTCTGTATATCAGTCAGATATTATAGCTGCAGAAGTCGTTGTACAGTGTGCATCATTGAGAGCTTACCCTGCTCCTCCAGCAAAGCAAGTTTACTAGTGGGCAGATGGGAAATGACTCCTTCCTCCCCTTCCTCTTCCTGTCCAGCCACACAGCCACTGGTTTAGCCGAGACAACATTGAGGTTTACACCCTTTATAGTTCCTGCAGTTCTGCTGTCAAGTACGTGAGGCTGTCTGAACTACAGAGGGCATGCTGCGTTTCTCATCCAATCAGCCTATTTAAGCTCAAAAAGGCCCATTATGCTGAAAACAGATGCCTTCTAGTGAACAGGCATCCAGTAGGCCATTGCCTACTCTGCCTAATGGGAAATCCAGCCCTGTGTCTCACACACCCACAAATACAAATAAACCAACATATAAAGTGTGCATAGTACTATAAAACCCCACCAAACATAGTAGTATACAGTATGAGGTAAAAAGTAAAAATCTTCTCCTTTAAATGTTCTCATTTAAACATAAAGCATACAAAGATTGCACAATCTTCTAAAACACAGGATAAGGAGTATTCACATCTACATTAAAAAAGGCTAAAAGAAAAAAAAAATACTTAGCATAATACTGTAATGTAGATGAGTGCACAAGTTTGTAAATAGAACCACTCGCATGTACTAGAGCAGGGGTGCCTGAAAGGTAAATCTCCAGATGTTTTAAAACTGCAACTTCCGTGATGCTTTGTCAATCTAAAGGCATGCAAAGGATCATGGGAGTTGAAGTTCGATAACATCTGGGGATCTACCTTTAGGGCACCTGCAGTGGCGTACACACAACCCATGGAGCCCCGGTGCGAAAACTGATCCGTGGCCCCCACCCCAGCGCAT